GGCCGGGGCCGGCGCTGCGGGCCGACCCCCGGGGTGAGCGGTCTCGCCGGCGGAGCGCGGGCTGCGGCCTCCCGCCTGGTGCTCAGGAACGCTTCGTTGCTGCGGGCCGCAGCGGGTCGGGCTGAAGGAGTCTTGCTCCGAGCGGCCCTCCTGAGGAAGGAGCACGTCCGTGGTCACCGTGTTATGTTCTGTATTACGGATTTGTGAAATTAATAACAGTAACTTCGAAGCTTTTGAAGACAGACCTTTTTCAATTTAGGAATACAGTAAAAATTGCTCATGCGAGACTCCTGATTTCAAGCCGACTGCTTGTGAGGGTGACGCAGGAGGATCAAACTTTTGAGACCCGTTTGGGCAATTTGTAGAAACCTCATCCCCAAATCTAAAAAAGCGTTGGAATTACAGCCCAGTGGTAGAGCCCGCGATAGCCTCGCTTGGCTTCCCCTCGCAGCACCACACACGCAAATCCCCAGCCCCACGGATGTATGGACCGAGGACAGGAAAACCAAGGCAGGCTCTTAAAGAGATTACTTAGCTTTGTAGTTCTCATCCCAACTATGCTGCCGGGCGGCAGCTGTAATTGCGGGGTGACACAGTGGACGTTCCTGTTCTCCGAGAGAGCGTGAGTTGTAGCTGAGGTTTCTGGGGCATGGCCGCTGTGTCCATCGAAGCCAGAATGGCTAGGCAGTTAGGACCTCCAGAGATTTGTTTGTATATTAACTTTAGAAACCTCATTATTAAAAAGGTGGTTATTGTAAAGCAGAAGTGTAGTTTTGCAAAATGGTTTATAATACTGTAATTTAATGGCCCTTGGCAACAGTGAGGATGAATAAAGTTGCCCCCTTCTTCTGAAGAGTCTAGCTTTTGTGAAGGAAGCAAACACTTAGCCACAGACCTGGCTCACGCTTCATTAGCCAAAGAAGGATGAAAGGGAAAAGAAGTTGGATTCTACCATTCTCCACACTCTGTATGTATATCCTAGTTTTTCTATTTTTTTAGGTAACTAGGAACTGGTCCTTTTAGAAATCTGAATTTCTAGGCCTGAGTAATCCCAGCACTGTAATCCAGGATTACATGAATGTAATCCCAGCACTGAGGAAGCTGAGGCAGGAGGAGGATCATTGAGACCAGCATGGGCTACAAAGTGAGCTCAAGGCCAGCCTGAGCTGCATAGCAAAACCCTGTCTCAGAAAGACTTTAAAAAAACTTTTTTTCAAACCCCTGAATTTCTGAAGCCCATGTGTACACGCGTCTTTGTCTATTCAAGCATGGACTGCTAGCCTGTGGGCTAACCTCTGGGTCTTCCTAGAGCTAGGTTTCAGGTCCACTTGCAGATGAATCATTTTGCAATACTGATCCACACGCACACACCTTCAGTAACCCCGTGCCTGCAGGGTGGAATCCTAAGTGTGTCTTGCTCTCCAGAGAGAGCTCGGTCCAATTTGGGTTTTCTCTTTCCCTCCAACTTTGATGTTAATTTTTCGTTTTTTCTTTTTACTAACACAATAGCTACATATTCACGCAGAGGTTCTCTGTCCTAGGGCTCCTACTCATGAACCTCAGCTGCTGTTTCCCAGGTCTCCCAGGCTCACTTCTGAGTCTGACCAGCCCTCATCTTTTCTCCACCTGATTCCAGTGGACCACTCCAGGCTCAGAGGCCGTTTCTCTGCGGGGAGCCCACTGGACTCAGCCTCACAGCCTGCTGTCGTGTGAGTGTCGCCAGGCCCCTCAGACTCAGTAGCTGCCTCTCTTGAGAGATGCTGAATACCCCAGCTTCTTCAGGCCATCAGAGGGAACTCTGGAGACTGTCTCCCTCCCTCGATTTTGCCTTCAACATTCCTCCTGGAAAAGACTAAGATGGTTTGGGAATGAAGATCCAAGTTATCTCTTAGAAAAAATCAGTTGAGGGCAGAATTGGGCTTTTCTGCCATTTAAACTCATTTCAGTGTGTGTCATATGGCTGCGACCTTGTGGTAGGTTCCAGGTGAGAGGATCCTCTTGTCCTAGGCATATTCTGGTTGGGGATTTTGGGGGTTTGGCCCCACTAAAGATGAGCAGAGTGAGTTTCAGACATTGGTCTGCAAGGCTTTCCTGTCTCAGATGGCTGTGAACTCCTGGTAAGCTCCTTGACCACCAGTACTTCTCAGACTATGGGCCCTGACTCCTTCCTGAATCATGAAGTCACCTCAGGGGGCATTAGTAGTACTTTGAAAAGAGAAGTTGGAAAATACAGAAGAATAGGAAATATCTGACAAAATGAACTCTCAGAAGAGGATAGGTTCTTTCTTGTGTAGGTCCTATTTGTTGTGTAGGCCCTCTC